GGATTAAAGCACCTGCAAGCAAGTGCAGGGGCCTGGAATTCAATTCTTGGGCCTGCCCCTGCTGTGCTGGGGTGTGCTGAGATGGAAACTGAGACTGGGTGTGGTGGCACACACCTATAATCCCAGCACTTGGGAGGCTATAAACAGGCAGATCACTACGTGTCCCATCTAGTAGTGAGACCCTGAACACCTTGAAGACCCTTCCCTAAGGTACAAAAGTAAATAAATAAATAAGTGAAAAAGCTCTTTGTGACTCAGAATCCAAAAGGAACATGTTAAATACAGTAAAATAATTAAATTTACAAACTTTTTAACACAATAACATACAAAGTAAAACCAAAGTAGAAAAAAAAAAAAAAAAACTCAAACATTTATAAAGAGAAAATAGTCCTAACACATTAAAAAACTTCTTAGAAAGAAGACACTTGAAAAATAGTTTGGGGGCTGGGGAAATAGCTCAGTGGCACAAGTACCTCTGCCTAGCAAGTGCAAAATCCTGAGTCTGGTACCTGGTACCAAAAAAAAAAAAAAAAAAAAAGAAGGAAAATACTTTGACAGTTTCTTAAAATGTTAAACATAATTTACATATGTCTAATAATTCCATTCTTAAGTATTTACCCAGTATACATGCAACCATATATTTCCACACAAAGATTTGTATGTAGATATTCATGGCAGCATTATTCATAATAGCAAAAACTACAGTAATGACCCAAGTGCCTATTAACTCATGAATGAAAAAATAAAAGGTGATATATCCATTTAATGAAATAAATTTGGGCTATAAAAAGAATAAAGTACTGATACACTACACCAAATGAATCTTGAAAACATTATGCTAAATTAAAGAAACGGGAGATAGCTCAGTAGGACTACTGAACTCAATAGTTCTGAGTTCAATCCTTGGTACTGCAAATAAATTAATTAATTAACTAAAGAAACAGTCACAAAAAAATCACTCATTGTATGACATGCATAAAAGGTGCAGAATAGGCAAATCCATAGAGAAAGCAGATTAGTGGTTGCCAAGGGTTGGGGGAGAGAAGAGTTACTGCTAATGGGTACAGTTTCTTTAATGCACGATAAAAACATTTTGCATCAGTGATGCCACTGTATAACCTAGTGAATATAATAAAAACCACTGAATTATACATTTTGGGGTTTGGGGTCAGTATTTTTTGGTTGTTTTTGCAGTACTGAGGATCAAATGTAGGACCTTGTACATGTTAAACACATGCTCTACCACTGAGCTTAATCACACATTCTAAAACCACAAATTCTATGATATGTGAATTGTAACTTTTTATAAAATTGGAAATAACAAAAACAAAAAAAACTGGAATTTCATCATTTTACTAACTCAATCTGTGACCTCAAACAAATCATTTGCCCTTAATTTCTCCATTTACATGAATTTCTCATTAAACCTTTCCTAAGAGATCTAATATCCATTATAAACTTTAAAAGTTGAATGAAACGTTAATCAGTTATGAATATAAGGACTGAAGGAAATAAAGCTGATATTAGCCAGGTCCAGGGAATATACCTGTCATCCAAGTTACTCAGGAGACCTGAGGATGACTTGAGCTCATGATTTGGAGACCAGCCAGGGAATCACAGTGAGGCCCCCATTTCGGAAAAAAAAAAAAGAAGAAGAAGAAGGAAGAAGAAGAAGAAAGGAGAAAGAGGAGGAGGAGGAGGAAGAAGAGGAAGAGGAGGAAGAAGAGGAAGAAGAAGAGGAAGAAAAAGAAGAGGAAGAGGAAGAAAAAGAAGAGGAAGAGGAAGAAGGAGGAGGAGAAAAACTAGTATAAGAAAATGAAAGTTTCTACTTCACAAGACAAAAATCCTTCTCCCAGTTTTCAATATACAATAATCTACCATCATTTCTTAAGAGCTTATGAATCATGAACCTTACCTGCTTTTCTTATACTATTCTCACAACTTCAAAGCACACTAAAGATAAGCACAAGTAGCCCCATTTTTGTAATAAGCAGACAGACTAAAGAAGGTAAATGACTTGAATGCACAAATAAAGTTGAGCTTTACACTTTGAGCTGTCTCTTCAAATACCAAACACTCTGATCCAAAGTCTAACATGAAGGAGAACAATGGATTAAAAATTTGAAGTCCTAGGTTTTAATTCTGTTTCTGCTACTTATTGGTTTTGTAATTTTAGACAAGTAAATAAATATCTGAATTTCCTCATTTGTTAAAATATTAACTCATCCTAATTTAACTAACAAAATATAAATAGGCACTTATATGATAGTTAAAGCATTATAGAAATATAAAATATGATTATAGAAAAGTAGCACTATTAATAACCCAAAAATGATTGAGGCCTCAGATTGAGTTAGTAAAATAATGAAATTCCACTTCCTTTGTTTTTGTTATTTCCAATTTTATAAAAAGTTATAATTCACATATCATAGAATTTGTGGTTTTATAATGTGTTGGATAATGAATGGCTTTAATATTCTGTAGTCTTGCAACTGTGCATGGTATGGACTAAAGCAGTGATTTTCAAAACATACTCCTCTCTTGGGAGTGATGGCTTATCTCTAGTGCCATCTAACCTGCAGAAGCAAGAGGATCAAATTCAAGGTCAGCTTGGGCAATTTACTGATAATCTGTTCAAAATTCAAAATAGGCTAGGGCTATAGTTTAGTACAAGAGCACTTGACTAGGATGCAGGAGGTCCTGGGTTCATCTTTAGAACTGGGAAGGGAGGAACCCCTTATCAACCACTTTAATCAGAGTAATTCCTACAACTTTAATAAAGAAGTTAAAACTACTAAGTTTTTGTATCATTTTCTGGTATCTATTAAAAAACTGTGACACTTGTATTTCAGGTCTTTCTCAAAAGAGTGTTGGATACTGTAGACGGGTAACCTTCAGTCTCTAAGAGTAAAGTCCTTCACTTAAAAAATTCAGGGAAATACGCAGGCATCGTGTGTAATCCCACCACAGGCTCAGCCAGGAGGACAGGACATTTGAACTCAGCCTTGGTAACTCCCACTCTCCTCATCTATTTTTTACTCTCAGATTGGGCCTGGTACCCTTTAACAGTGTTTTTGTGTGACTTATTCTTTCAACTATTTTTTATGACCTTGCCTCATTTTCACTAAATCTTACTTAGCTTCATTTGCATACAAAGTATATGTTCAAAGTTTATGATTTTTCTTGCGTTTCCATAATTCAGGTTTTCAAATTAGCCTTAGTAATTCCAGAGTATATTTGGGTAAGGTAATGATAGCAATTACTTTTTTGTACTATGTACTAGGCATTGTTGTAGCACCTTTGTGTTATATTATCTACAACTCTAAAAGGTAGATATTTCCTTACATTCATTTGATATTAGGATTTAAACACAGGACGTTTGCACTTTATGCACAGCCCTTTTTAATATTTTGGAGAGGTCTTGTTTTGAAGAAACTGAGCTCTAGTTAAGCTTATCTGAAATACGTAAAAACTAGTATTTTCACATACTATATTTGCATCAAGAGTACTATTGTACTGAAGCATCAAATTTTATCTTAATAAAGACAACAAGACATATATCAAAATAATTATATTAATTGTATACTCCAGGTTAATTTTTCTAAATAAATTGTGATAGTCCAAACTTTCTGTCTTTCAAAGCCAAAGCAATCTTCACTTTACCTTATATGTA